AGAGCTGTTCCCTTCCTCTCCGGGCAGGCCCCCAAGCCTGGCTGCGCCAGCCGGGTGGTGCAGAGCTCCCTTGGGGCTCACTGCAGCATCCAGCACCTGATCGGCCACTTCACCGACCGCCTCCCTCAAGAGCTGGTGCTCCCGGGGAGCCCTGGGGAGCAGAGTTGGTCCCGTGCTGGAGAGGAGCCAACCTGTCTTGCCACCCGCCCTGTCCTTCTTTCTCCTGAGGTTCCCTACCAGACCCTGGCGGGCTTCGTCAAGGGATCCCATGGTTTGCACCGGACAGCATCCAGCACCTGATCGGCCACTTCACCGACCGCCTCCCTCAAGAGCTGGTGCTCCCGGGGAGCCCTGGGGAGCAGAGTTGGTCCCGTGCTGGAGAGGAGCCAACCTGTCTTGCCACCCGCCCTGTCCTTCTTTCTCCTGAGGTTCCCTACCAGACCCTGGCGGGCTTCGTCAAGGGATCCCATGGTTTGCACCGGACCAGCCCCGGGCACTACGAACGCCTGGCTTGCCTCCTCCTCCTGCAGGTGTGCATGGGGCTGGAGCACCTCCGGGTGCAGAACGTGGGGCAGGGGGACCTCTGCCCTGAAAACCTACTGCTGGTGCGGTGCCCGTGTCCTCTCCGGAGCCAGCAAGGCAAGGAGGCATCCCTGGGGCTGTCCCTTCCAAGGCTGCTCATCAGCAGCTTCTTCAAGGTTAAAGACAAGAGAAGACCTTGTTCTACCAGCCAAGAGCAGGACTTGACCGAGGGGCTTGCTGCACCACCCTCCCCGGTGGCAGATGAGCTGAATGTAGGCATGCTGATCTATCAGATCTTGCATGTGGACATCTCTCTGGAAAACGCTTTGGGGTTCAGAAGCAACAGACTTCCTGAAATCCCCTCCCTGTCCATTTATTCCACGGGACTTAAGTGTCTGGCCATGCTGCTCCTCCACAGAGACCCCTGCAAGAGGGTCTCCATCGAGCAGGCAAGGTGCATGCTGCAGGTCCTGCTCTGGGGGCCTCGCCAGGAGCTCTTCGCCAGGAGCAAGAAGACCCTCGCCCTGCTCCGGAGCTGGGTGGAGGTGAAGAGGGCTCTGCTGCTCCTGAAGTTTGTGAAGAATTCGGCTGGGGCAGGGGCGAGCCCTGGCCTCGAGGACTGGCTGTGCTGCCAGTACTTCAAGGAGGTCACCGAACACACACTCTACCAAGTCACCCAGGCTCTCTACACTCCCTAAAATTAAGCTGAAGTTGAGTCCTCCCAGGAGGTCTCCCCAAAGCCAAGAGCCCGCGGGGACCTGGCCAGGTCCACCAGCTGCCATCTCCCGCAAGGAGCCCAAGCTGGTCCCGGCCAGAGAAACTCTGCAAACCCAAACCCATTTCCGCCGCAGCACAGGAACGATGACACTGGGACCAAACCCCCACCCGTGGCTCCCACAACGCAGGGTGTGTTTTTACACCCCTCGGCTGATTTTGTTTGCTGCTGTGAGTCCAGTTTCTCAGAGCACCTCAGGAAAGGTGGCTGGATCGAGGACCAATTTCGTGGCTGATTATCCCGAGTAGAGTTCACGGGGCTTAGCCTCAGGCCAAAACCCGCTCCGACCCCTGCTGCAGCCGGGAGGCTTTCGCTCTTTTAAATAACGACGCGAAGCCGCACATTACAGCTCCCCTTAATGCGCCGATAGCAAAGGAGAAATACAACACCTCGTAGAGCCTGCTCTTCTTAAAAACAGTTTGTGGCATAGTCACAAATACAAATGGCATTTTAAAGGGGGAAATACAACAGCCACACAGCTTCAATAAAACCCAGAGCTGAGCCTCTCAAATACTGGTCCTTTTTGTGCTGCTTTGACAGCATTACGCACCCCGGTGATGTATCCAGGGAGAAACACAAAGCCAGCCCTCACTGCCCGGCGGGGATTAGCCGGAACAGCCTCGGTGGCGTGTGGTAAATGGCTGGGGACAGTTTTTGGCTGGGGACAGTTTTTGGCTGCGGCACCCGAGGACAGGGCTGCGGGGTCGGGCTCTGGCTGCACCGAGGCAGGGCCGTTGCGTCTGCTGCTCGGTAGAAAACACGCAGCGCCACGTGAGATCTGCGCCCTGGTCCCCAAACCCACGCGATGCCGAGGGACCATCACAGGGGAGAGCTGTGCAAGGCCCTGCTCGGGTCATTTGTGTTATTACTAGTTAAGCAATTATTAATCCACTCGCAGCTATCGCCTGACAGCAGCAAGAGCAGCCTCCATGCGCTGTGCTCACAGCAGGATGGACCTTCCCAGCGTGCCCATGGGCATGGGCAGTGGCACACCAGGCAGTCACCAGAGCCGGTGGCACGGCTGGATCGGGGACGAGTCCTCCCAGGAGTCCCTGAGCTCAGAATAACCCCTGGTAAACCAGAGCTGCGACCTCCCCCAAGATGATACCACAGAGCAGCATGCTCCCAGCTCCCCCGGTCAGTGGGTTTCTGCCCCCCAAAAAATCCCAGAATGTTGGGGGTTGGCAGGGCCCTCTGGGGGTCACCCACTCCAACCCCTGCCCAAGCAGGGTCACCCAGAGCAGCTGCACAGCACCGCGTCCAGGCGGGGCTGGAATATCTCCAGA